AAAAATATCGATATATCGATATATCGGTGTGATAGGAAAAAAAATATTTGGCCTAATCTACTTCAATCATCTTACATTACTAGATAAATACTAATCAATAGACATCATTTTTAATTTTTTTAAATCAAGGACAACAATAAAAAATATTAATTATTTATTAATCAAACCAATATTTATCTGATACAGACATAAGAAAAACTCTTTGATTTACATGCTCGGCTGTAAGCCGACTTCTGTTATTGGGTACTGAGAGATTTACAGCAGATGCCACTCTCTCTGAGGAAACCGAGGACGCAGGCGATATCAAATACTTTAGAGCTATGTCGGAAAGGACTGGAGTAAAATGACGACAATCAAACCAGAATTTTGTAGGATTCTCTTTTTTGGGTATTATAGGCTGATCTAGATATTGCTTTAGTTCGCTAGGCATACCATCACTGGTTGAAAGTAAACTGGAGGTTGTTGCAGCAATATGTATCATAATTTTTTCATGTCCGGACCACAACGACGGCGAAGAATTTTCTGAATTTGGAATTATGGTAGTGGTTGTGGGTCTGAGTTCAGGCGAAAGTTGTCCTCTACGTCTATGTTCTAAACGTATTTCTTTTGACAATGCGGTTATTGCAGTGGAAACAGCTAGTGCTGAATTAAAATGAATACGCTTAAAGCGAGGGTCTAAAATTGTTGCTATAGCAAGATGTAAATGTCGCTCTAGTGGTTCTAGTTTGGCAATAACTAAGTTTAGCAAACTCTTCTGAACAGCAACACCAAATTCGGTGAAAGGTTTTACTTCTTCAAGTCCTTTCTGAAGTAAGTTTGCAATGGAATCGCCAAACTAGAAGTCACGTACTGATCGCCGCTAATTTCTTCAGTAGCTTGCTTAAATGGGGTAAGCAATATTATCAGATCTCGTATGACACTTAACTCTGAAGAAGTTATCATATCAGGTGCATTCCGCCTAGTTGCTAATATCTTAGCCACAATAGCTGATAATGTATTGAATCTTTCCAACATATCAAGACAAGAATTCCACCTTGTGCTTACTGATTGTATAAGTGTTAACACTTCTCCCTCTTTCTTTTGTCCCTCTTGTTCTGCTCGCAAATCGTCCATTGCGTTCACAGATTGTTTAAAATATGTAACAATGGCTTTGACACGATTGGCAATTTGAAGAACTGGTGCATTATCTCTTGTTGCGCCATCCACTATTAAATTCAGCAAATGCGCCATGCAAGGAATTCTTTTTCCATCTTCCAAAAATTTCTTCACTGCAGCAACCATGTTAGCACCACCATCAGTGGTAATCTATAAGATGCAATCCTTTTCTATTGTAAACTCGTCGGTAATATTTTCAAAGCATTCTTTTATATAATCAGCTGTGTGCGCCTGCAGGAAAGAAGACCAATATTAGTCCACTTTATTAAATTTATTATAATTAACTATTTATTTTATTTTTTATAATTTGATGCATTTATTTTATACTTTACTTACCTGATACATTCTTCGTGCTGTCAATGTCACCATCTCATGCTCAGGAGTGCTGTGTTAAGAAAATGTGCTGTCACTACGATGAAACTTCGTGTCGAGTTAGTAAGAGTTAATATATCACTTGTTAAAGCAATATTATTTATCTCACTTAATTTTTGTTTTAAAATGGCTTTGGTAGTGGCGTATCGTTGTTCCATGAGGCCAGTTATCTGGAATGAGAAATGAATAATAAAATAACATTTAAAAATAAAAAGGATAAGATAATAATTTAATATTATAGTTCGCTTACAGTAGTTCGTGATGGAATTTTATAGCGTGGACAAATGACGCTCATAAATCTTTTCAATCCTGATTTTTCTACGCAAGATAGAGGCATGTTGTCTTTGCAAATCATGTAGATCAAAGCTTGATTTATTTGGCTAGTTTTATGACCCCCTGCTAAATTGAGAAAAATAATAAAATTAGAACATCCTCATAGAACTAAAATGTAAACAATACAGTAATCTAATATCAAAAAAAAATACCTTCATAGCTTGAAGGTATTTTTCATATCAACATATCTATGAGTGTAGTCTGTTTCCACAAGTCTTTACTCTGACCATCTTTGGAGGATTCAGTCTGAAAAAAATTATTGAATATTTTGTATATATTTCATTACACTTGTCGTCATAAATAGTATTAAGGTTAAGTGAAAACACCAAAATTTAAATTTATCGATATCGATACTTTTAGTAATTACACATCATTAGTTGACTGGTTATTGGTTATGAACAATTGATATTTAGATTCTAAAGCTACGTTTGATCTTGCACAAATAAAATACTTACACCAGTATCATCGTAAATCGCAATTTCAGACAATTCCATGAAGTTATTTTCTATCTCAGCAGGTTTATTAGTATTGGTAATAGTTGAATTAGTAGACGAAACAGGTGAACTAGTTCTTGTTCTTGGTGTAATATTCACTTCACTAGACGTTGAGTTTTTATTTTTAAGTTACAAAAACGCATGGTGATGCTTATTTTTAAGATGTGTAGATAAATTCGTCGTATTGCCACTGGTTTTATATATTTTCCCACACACATTACATGAAACGTTTTGTCTGTCTATTTTTTTGAAAAAGTTCCATACAACACTAGACATGACTGGAATGCTCGAATTATTTTGTTCACATACGTGAGTTAATTATTGATTTAATTAGTTAGATTGTTTGAGAACTATAATCAACTCAAATGCAGGCAGAAATACGCTCGCGTTGAGGTTATAATACGGATAACAGACGGATAGTTGAAGCACAGACACTGACACTGAAATGACATTGACAGACAGAGTTGCCAACTTAAGTACCAAATTAAAACGCAGTAAATCGAGTCGACCAAAGACAAAAAAAATGTAATTTGTTAAAAAATGTTAGTATAAAAAAAGTATTCTTTTTTAGGATTTTTTAATTATAAAAAATATCGATTTTTATACCTTTTCAATACTTGTAATTTTATATCGATACCTCGATATATCGAAACATTAAATATCGCTCAAAAATATCGATACATTGAAAAAATAATATCGATATATCGATGTATCGATATTTTTTCGACGAGCCTACTTCTTTTTGCTCGTTATCTTCCATTAATTCTTTATTAATATCATTATTTATTCCCAATGATTTACGTACACCTTTATGATTTCTTTATGTGATATATTGAATTCAAGTTCTTCATCTAAAATTCTTTGATCTATGTTCGGCGTATTAATATTTTGTGTATCTGGTTCATTACTGCTTGTCCAAAAGGATTGACCAATTTCTCTTAGTTGTCGTGTTGAATCAGCTAGCGGTGTAACCGTATCGGTATTGTTGTGTTGAATTTCGTCTTCCAAATGATAAAAGCCAAGGTGCTTTTTGTGGTTGCAATTGACAGTCTGATGCAGACAGTTTTGATCTATACAGCTCAGTTTTCGAACGGCAACTATAGGAGACTCGAAATTCCAGACTATTTGGTGCATTTTCAGGCAACCTGGAAAAGCTTTCACATTTTGTGGAAAAAGGAAGTCTTTTTCACATACGTCATACTCAGAAACGGTTCTCAATTTTACTTTCTTGAGGTTTTGCTCCATTACATTTACAAAATCCTGCATATCTTTTATATCCTGCCCTTGGGAAACAGTGCGATCCGCAGTTCTTTTCATAACAGCGCCAATCCCATCTGGGGCACCCTTCCCATGACCAGATTCGCTGTAGTTCCATGTAATGATTTTAATGGAGCTTATCGAATTTATTGGCAATGTATTCACAGCATGGTAATACATGCCAAAGACAAATCTGAAACAAGAACCATTATTGTGAAAAGATTATTTAAGAAGTATAAACTATAAGCATAATAAGTATATTATTATTATGTAGGACTATTTATTTTAACTATCACACTATCACCTAGCTCTAAGTTTAGTATTGGTATTTCTTGTGTAAGACACAACATTAATCGTCTCTAATCTAAGCAGAATCTAATGGTACCTTACTATGATTAAAGTATGAAGGTACCTGTTTTTTTGCTGTCCACAGCAATTATCAGAGTACAGTATAATGTCTTTGTTCATCTTTCTTGAAGATATTTCTTCCAAAAACTTGTAGAGGCATGAGCCCATTTCGTTAGCTCCACGTTTACCAAGACCCTCATGTCAGAAGTAGCATATTGTTTTATCATCGTTCGTGGTAACCTAGCAAGTAAGTAAATATTATTTTGATTAGTGACTAATACATTAGTGATAACAACAACGAAACATTTTATAAAATATTAAAATACCCTACTAACCGTGAAGTTATAACAGTTCAGTTTTGATTTGTAATAGAACGCTGACGATTGTCCCAATGGACAAGGTAAAACAGCCTGCAGATCGAAAATGGCTACTATAGTGTTAGAATCATTTTTACACTGTTCTAGGTCTTTTTTCAGTTCTATCTGGCTTAAACTTTTTTCTTCTAGGTGTTTCTTATACTTATCTTGTAGAGGTTGCTTATCAATAGCATTCTTGTATGCTTCACATTCATCGCATTGATCTTTTCGGGGGACAAATAAACTAACATTGAAATCAGAATTAAAAATTCTGAAATAGGCGTCATAATTTGCAAATTCCTTTCCAGCTGCTTCCCGAATTTTTTGATAGTCTCGATGGAGCTCCGCTATAGTCAAACTTCCATCTATGTATTCTCTGGTCGTATTAGCTCTCAAATAATGGCTATCTGTCCTTGGTATTGAATTTATATGATCATGAACTGATTTCAATACTTCATCACTTAGTTTTCTTTGTTTACCGTGCTTACCACGGTTATCAGCGGGGCTCATTATATACATTTCTTGATCAGATACTTTATTAGCTACATTTCGTAATGTTTTTTCGCCAATAGACAATGTGTTAAGCAAGAAGGTCTTATAAACCCTGACATCGTTGCCGTTTATCACAAAGTGGAATGTCGAGTTTGGTTTTCTAGCTGGCTTAATACAGGCGTTATTTGCTGTGCTAATCTTGAGTCTTCGGGTTGCAGGCGTTTGTCTTTTTACGCAGGATGCCAGAAAATCTCTGTCTTTGGTGGGTGCCTAATGCCCAGTATGATTTAAAAATATCATTCCTCTTTTCAGGTAGAACTTTGGTAGAACACGAAAGTCGGCACGAGCTTTTGCATGGTGGACCTAGAGATTTAGCTGGAACAGTCTGTCCTCTTTTTGTAATATACTCCTTGCCACACTTTTTGAGACGCTTTGAAAGAGCTTGCTTCCACTCGTTTGGATTTCTCTGCCGTTTTCTAGACTGTCTTTTATTAGTTTCTTGCTCAGAACGATCTTCACTCACGATCAATAATAGAACTTGGTTGCTGGTTAGCTCCATTGTTTTTTGAGGAGTTATCTGCACTGGATGAGCTACTTGAAGAGTCACTTGAACTAGATGAGCTACTGTCAGAACTAAAAGAATCTGACGAACTGGAAGAGCGGCTACGATTGCAATACACATTTTTTCTGTTATGTTTAGTATGACCTTCAGGTTTGTATTCTGACCCCTCAGATGGTGAGTAATCTCCATTATTTGAGAAATTAGACTTATTTGTAAGATCTGTAAATAAAAACCAATGATTTTTTCGTTACACAATTGGTCAAGGTATTACAATTGATACTACAGTCATTTTACTTTCTTTTCTTTACATAACTTTAAAATATTTAAATTTGATATACTAACCCGTGGTGACAGTTGGAGTATTTGTGTTTTCTAAATTATCATTTTGAACTTTTAATACAAAATCCTGCCTGATATCTGTAATAAGTAATACGTTAGTATTATCATTAAAGGCATGAAAATATTTTTTTGTTTTAGTTTGAACTTAAAGAGGATAATTATATTTACCCGTAGTTGCATTTATCATTTGCAACGGAACTCTTTCCGCACTTTCAACTTGTACCGATATGGAACCCTGCTCCTCTTCATCTAAAAAATATTTAAATAAGTAATAAAACAATTAGAAGTGACTATGGTTATGATTTAATGCAATAGGAGTATTCATTTGTTCTAACTCTGTAATACATTTTATCCAATAAATGTAAAAATCACCGAATGTTAATTATTCTTCTTGCAACCGTTTGGATTGTTTGAGAGCCTGCAAGCTCTCTTCAATTTTTAATTATGTTTCATCTCCAATTAAGTCTGAGTAATCTTCTTTACAAAAGTCGTTTAGGTTAACTAGCCTGTCCAACATATCGGCAGTAGAGTCCCATCGAGTTGAACAATCCAGAATAGCCTGAAGCAATTGGCTGCGCTTTAATTCTAGTGCCACGTTAGGTATACGAAGAGTTGTTACTGCACAACGACACATTCGAAAACGGATTCAAGTTCTTTGCAGGCATCTCTCACAGCAAGCTGCAATTTATGCGCGGCACAACGTACAGCTGTCACGATAGGATGGGCTATATTTTTCCTTTTTATCTCCAAACTTTCCACCAAATCAAGCATTTCCTGACTATCTGCTGATGAAAACATAATATCAGATTCCTCAACCTGTTCTTCAGTGTTATTCAAATCTTCAAGAGAATCCTGTATTTCTTCTTCAATTTGACGAGACATTGCAAGCATATTAGCGCCGTTGTCCGAAGTATTGGAATATAGCTGCTAAGGCTCGATTTCGTAGCAGCCTAAAACCATCAACACCAATGAAGCTCAACTACACACAAATTAGCTGCAACTTCTTAACTGCAAATTTATTCCGAGGAATCTTCTTGATTTCACAGAAGCTACATCAATTTTTAAACATACCAGTTTAGTTTTTAATTCCTCATAGATCTTCTTTCGGACATCGTAGGCTTTATTCTCAATATATGTTCTTATGTTTCTAATATTCGGTTTTAACCCAGTATTAGGTTTAATTGAATTTTGGAATGCCTCATCTTCTAGCATAGACAACGTACTGCCGTGGATTGCAATTAAATTTATGCAGCATTCAAGAACTTTATTGTATTCTGTTAGAGAATTTACATCTTTATCAGAAAAATGCCCTTTCTTGAATCTTGTCATATTCAGCACGATGCTGCGTAAAAAAATGTACTAAATTTCCGCCGTGATGTCCCTGGAACAATATTTTTTACAATCGTATCATATAATTTTTGATCCTTCACAGTCCGTCCTAAATTCATTCACAATCTTCAGTTAAATATTATTAATAAACAGTATTAAACTGTCAAACACCAAGCGGTCACCGGTGACCGCGACCTATTGTTCTTTAATTGTGTCTATAAAACCGGTACTCGACGAGTTAATAAAGGTATATGAACAACTTCTACTATGAGACCAATTTCTTAATTGCAAAAATTAAATACAGCTGTTTCAATACATGTTGCTTGTTCATCATAAGTAGTTTTTGATGATTTTTATGAAACTGCAGATATTTTTTTCGTGATTTCGATGTTAGTCCTAATTCCTATAGAAAAAAAAATTAATTGCCTGTGAAGTCGGTATAAGGGCGAAAGTTTTACGTGACAACGACTTTGAGTGGTAAAATAATTTTAATGTGAATATTCATTCGCGTGCCTTTCACTTTTTATGTGTGTCTCTCTCGCTCTTAGGCGGGCTAACCATGCCCGAATAGAAGGGACGCGTGGCTCTCACTCGCTCTCATTGTGAGCGCATAACGTGAGCGGAGCGTAACGCAGTTTCTTGAAGTGTCACCCGGCAAACCAATTTAATAAGACGTTGTCACGTCAAAATTGTTCATATAGGTACAAATCATGGTGAATAAACTAGTCTTAACCCTTTAGGTCATAAGGAGTGGATAGTGGAAATTAAATAATTATTGTTAGAAGCATAGACAAAAAGGAACGAAATGTCATCGCGTAGCGGGAAAATATAATCTGTGATTCGAACAATGAAAAAGTCAAGATGGCGGGAACTCGGAAATTATTGAGACGGCGTATTTGGTGTTGAGGGAATTTTATTCTATTTGAAAGTCAATTTGCCTATTCATGTGTTATTGTTGTTGTTTTTCTTTCCAATTAATAATTATGGTTAAGCTAGTTCTGAATTTGTAATTTGATTTCGATGTTAACAATATATAAGGTGAATTCATGAATTGTAATGGTGGTACACTTTATTTCTCCTGCCTCCTGAGTTTCTAATGGCGGCTGTACACACTCGACGAAAACCTCTCGCCGAGAGCCTCGGCCGAAAAGACTCTCGTCGAGAGCATGCCTGTACACACTCGTTATAACATTTGAACTGAAGAGTTACACGACAATGGACGTAGAAGTAGCTGCTGCTATTTGTCTTTGTGCCGTGAGCTATTATAATTTTTTAAACATTTACTATAAAAAAACAATTCTCAAACCATGGAGAAAAAGAAGATGGTGGATGATTACTATGCACCGCAGTAGAAACAGGTATCAATAATTTATATCAATTTATTTAATCAATTTATATAAATATCAGGTAATTTAAGGATTCAATAGAAATGCTTCTTTGTTTCAGAAGTACAATGGAAAATCAATTGGCTGAGTTGGTGGCGAAACCTTCTGGCCAATTTAACAACTTCACAAGAATGTCTCTATCAGACTTTGAATATTTATTGCAAAAAGTGTCTCCAATGATAAGTAAGACAAATACACTTAAAAAAGAAGCAATACCTGCTAAAATTCGCCTAGCAATTACGTTGAGATTTTCAGCCAGCGGAGACAACTTTGGGAGTCTACATTATCTGTTCAAAGTTTCCGGTTCAATAATTTCCAGAATTGTGCCCGAAGTTTGTATTGCTCTAAACCAAGTTTTAAAGGATCAAATTAGGGTAAGTAAAAACAAAATAATTACAAAATTATTTATTAAAAACGAACACAGTTTTGGAAAAATAGGTTATGGTCAAAATTGTAGTAAGGAAGTAGGTACTTATAAAACTATGCTTCATAAAATGCCTGATTTACAATGTCGGTATTGTGCGCTGAATCTGTTGGTGGACTAACAATCTCGTCAGACAAAATTTGAATAACGTTATCGGAATGTGATCTTTGAACCCCTGGATCAGAATATGTAGTACATGCCGACTCAGGCCGAACGTAGTATGTAGGGGATGTAGTAGAATGTAGTACAAGTCTTGAAGTTGGTTCTGAATGCATAGTGTACGTCGGTGAAGGCTGTGTGAAATATGAGGGTATAGCATTAATGCGCTTTATAAATAATCCATCTATTTCATACATCATTTTTAAACTATCTGTTTCACTTAGTTTACGGAGCTTATTAGCAAGAATTTTGCCATAACGATCAAAATCGTCTTCGGGCACTACCGGTTTATTCAAAACTTTATTCAGTGAACTCATGGCTTCCTTCATCGTCTTCCCAGCTTCTTGTAGTTCCATAGGATTTTTTCGGCGCCGCGGTACTGTTTCCAGTGAGGAAGTCGTAGGCGCAGAACCTGCGCCTACAACTTCCTCATCTCCATCTAATTTTTCACTTTCTGTTGTAGTTGTTGTATTCTTAAAATAATAACACAGTTTATTTTATGTTACAGATTCCTGAGGATCCACAATCATGGTTACAAATAGAAAAAGGTTTTAGAAAATTTCCAAGGTGTATAGGCACAATAGATGGCAAACACATTGTTATCCAATCTCCTATGCTTAGTGGTTCAGACTACTATAACTATAAAAAGAGTTTCAGTATTGTTCTTCTTGCTTTAGTTGACAGTAATTACAATTTTATTTTTGCTGAAATTGGAAGCCAGGGAAGAATTAGTGATGGCGGTGTCTTTCGTAGTAGTCAACTATGGCAAAGAATTTGCTCAAATAATTTAAATTTCCCAATGCCACGACCGCTACCAGGGGGTAGAAGAGAAGTTCCGTATGTTTTTCTGGGAGACGGAGCATTTGCATTGACAGCACATGTGATGAAGCCGTATCCAGGAAGTCATAATGAATGGACGCCGAAACGTATATTTAATAAGAAATTATCTTCGTCACGTGTAGTGGTTGAAAATGCATTTGGGATACTAGCTTCAAGATTCAGAATATTTCGGAAACCCATATTACTAAACCCAGAGAAAACCACTATTATTGCAATGACTTGTGTACTTCTACACAATTTCTTCAGGAAGAGTAGAACGTCATCGGCAATTTATGCACCTTCAGGTACAGTTGACGTATATGACAGCAACAATGAGCTAGTCACACCAGGTTTATGGAGGAATGAAATTGAAGACACATGTGCCATCAGACCCTTGCAACAAATACCGAGAAGACCAGCACAGGATGCATGTCATATTAGAGAAGAATTTACAACATATTTCTTTAATAATCAGCGCCAATAATTAAACGGGTTATATCTATTACCTACCTGTTGTAAATGTTGTAATAAATACATTTTTAATTGATATAAATAATGTTTTCTTACCTGTGTATCTGTGTTCAATGTATTTCTACACTGAACAATATTATTTAAAAATGAGTCCATAAACTCATAGGCGAACCATATTGGTTTATATACTGATTCGGCTGCAGCTCCAGACTGGATGGAGGCAATAACCCTTCTTTTATGACTACGATAGGTAGCCATAAGTGAGTCCCGCTTCTTTTTCAACTCTGCGACCGGGATTTTCATGTGCTCGCTTATTCGCACCCAAACGTCATGGATACATTGTTTATCTTTATGATTCACATCCTTCGAGTTCCATAATACAGGTTCTGTTTGATACCACTCTAAAAACTGTAATTCTCGTTCATTAGACCACATAGTGAAACACGTGCGTTTATAAATACAGTCAGCGAGCAACTAAATGAACGAGTGTGTACATGCTCGCTCTCGTTTACCTCGCGAGAGCCAACGAGACCCTTTGACTCGGTCGCAAAAAACCGACAAGGCACCGAAAGCGAACGAGACGAGAACGAGAGAGCGAGACGAGACGAGAGCGCCCTGTACACACGCGCGCTCGGCCTGTCTCGGAGTATCTCGACGAGTGTGTACAACCGCCATTACATGTTCACCGAAATAGGAACGTGCCTGTTTGATTTGATACGTGCCTAGTGATATTAGTATGAGCTCATTATCAGTAAGCTGTGGAAAATCATTCAGGTTATCATTTTGTACAGTTATTGTATGAAAATTAGCCCTACGCCTATTATCCCTTCGTGTGTGGGGGCCCCTCCGCGCGAATTGACCTAGAGTGTGTCGCTACTTTTGGGTGGTCTCGTGAGCTACGGTCGCACGTGATTAAAACTAGGATATCTTTGAAATATTGTATGGGAGGTATAGATAAAACTTATATCAATAGATTCTGTACAAAATAAGCTATGCTATGAAATTAATGAATTAGTCTAAATTTTCTTGCAATGTATTACTATTACGAGTTGAAATTCGGATGAAGTAATTTTTTCCACCAATTTGTACAAAAAACGTGATAAAATAAAAGAAACATAATTTTCACAACATTTTTTTATTCTATATATAACACCACATGTATAGACATAGAATTTAATAAAAATAAAAAATACCACTATACATTTTTTATAAAAAAATGGTTTTCAAAAGTAGGTCAAATTGAGGCGACTTGATCGCTCGTACAAAAAAAGGGTATGTTTGTACTTTGATTCCGAGAACACTTT